TTTAACTATTCCTTTGAATGTGTGCCATTATTCTAGGAAAATTCTAATGACTTCCGTTCATGCTCTGTATTTTAAATGTTTCTCAAGGCCAACCCCAGATGAATTAATGCAGGACAAGGTGTTCAGTGAAGTGTCACCTTTATACACCCCATTTTTTTAAAGATTTTAAAAATTAATGATTCTTTCAGGTACATTGTTAATATTTCACATGTCAGTCTTTACTTTCCAACTGATTTTTTAAAATATATTTTATTGATTTTTTTACAGAGAGGAAGGGAGAGGGATAGAGGGGAAGGGAGGGGCTGTGGGTGGAGGGCCACATATATATATGTTTCAATTGCCAAATTGTCAAAGATTAGAAAGACTGTCACTATCAAGTGTTAGAGAAGAAATAATGAACAGGAACTGTCATATACTGCTAGTGGGAATATAAATGGATACAAAGCCTTTCAAAAAACCTTTGTGATGATATAAAGTTAAAATTGCACGTGTTCTATGGCTTAGAAATTAAATCCGAGGTTTATACTCTTGGGAAAACTTTTGCAGATGTACACTGTACATAATATTCTGAGCAACACTTTGTAATATTTTAAAAACATTAAACAATTTAAATAACAATTGATATTAGAATGCATCAATTATTATATTATTCATAAAATAGAAGTAAAAATTAATGACTTGCTGGTTTGGCTCGGTGGATAGAGCGTCGGCCTGCGGACTGAAGGGTCTCAGGTTCGATTCCAGTCAAGGGCATGTACCTTGGTTGCGGGCACATCCCCAATAGGGGGTGTGCCGGAGGCAGCTGATCAGTGTTTCTCTCTCATCGATGTTTCTAACTCTCTATCCCTCTCCCTTCCTCTCTGTAAAAAATCAATAAAGTATATTTTAAAAAAGTAATGACGTCATAGCTACATGCAACAATATTGATGACTTTCAAATAAATAATGTTGATTGAAAAAGCAAATCACAAATGAATACTGACCAGTAATATGAAGTTCAGAAATGTGTATGACTAAACAATGTACTTTTTAGGGATACAAATATATGGTAAGACTATAATTAGAAGAGAATTACAAACACGAAAATTTCAGTTATGTGTTTCTTTTGGGGGATACTAGGGAGACACAATTAGGGAGAAGCAGAGATGGACCTTTAGTGATAATAAGATGTTCTTTACTTAAATTGCTTGGCAAGTACACAGTTGTTCATTGGAACTTTATTTTTTTATACTTTGTTCATATTTAATAGCCTGTCTTTAGCAAATATTTATTCATTATTTACTAAGACAGTTTTCAAGAAAACTTGTTATGTTGGTGAATGAAGGTAAGGGGAAATAGTCACTCTCATGTATTGCTTATGAGAATATAAATTGATACAACCTGGAAGAGCAACTTGGTGATATCCTATCTAATAAAAGAGAAACATGTAAATTAACCGTCCCTCCACTATGCTCACCAGCCAATCAGAGTGAGTATGCAAATTAACCTGGCAAAGATGGCGTGTTAATTTGCATACGCAGGTGTCAAGTGCCCCAGGAGGCGACAGAGGCTGCAGGCTCCCAGGACCATTGCCGGCCCCTGGAGGTGAGGCCGGCCACACCTAGCCATGCTCGCGGGCTCCCAGGGCCTTCGTCGGCCCGGAAGGCGAGGCTGGCCGTGCCTAACCACGCCTGTGTGCTCGCAGGACCTTTGCTGGTGGAGAGCAGAGCAGGAGAGCAGGCGCATACTGGGAGGATTGGAGGACTTGGCAGAGCAGGAGGCTGCTGGACATAGAGCAGAGCGAGAGAGAGGGTGGCATGAAGGGTGTGGCTCCCTCTGTCACCCCAGCTTCCTCATCATAGCTGTGGAAACTGACAGCAGGGAATAGGAAGTCCCACCCCCACAGAATCAGCCAGAATCAATTGTTGGTCAGACAGCTCTCAGCGGCCTGACAGCCAGGACTCTTATTCACCTGCATCTCAGAACGGGACAGTAGAGAGGTGGGACTATGTCTAAAGAACAACTTTAATACAATGTAGCTCTGCAGCTGAAAGATGCCGGCGTTATCGACAGAAAATGTCTGCAGAGCAGCATGCGTCTGATCTTGAAAGAAGACGGTGCCTGCGACAGAATGTATATGAAGAGCAGCTATTGAGAAAATGTTGCTCTGATGCCGAAAAACACCAGTGTCATCGACAGAAAATGTCTGAAGACCAATGTGCCTTTGAAGTTGAAAGACGGCGGTGGCGACGACAGAATATGTCTAGAGAACAGTCATCAACAAGTATTACCAATACTGATAGGAACTGCCTTCTCAGCGAAAATGGAGTACTTGAGGATGCAATCCTTGAACATAGTTGTGGTGGAATGACTGTTAGATGTGAATTTTGCCTATCACTAAATTTCTCTGATGAAAAACCATCCAATGGGAAATTTACACGATGTTATAGCAAAGGGAAAGTCTGTCCAAATGATATACATTTTCCAGATTACCCGGCATATTTAAAAAGATTAATGACAAACGAAGATTCTGACAGTAAAAATTTCATGGAAAATATTCGTTCCATAAATAGTTCTTTTGCTTTTGCTTCCATGGGTGCAAATATTGCATCGCCATCAGGATATGGGCCATACTGTTTTAGAATACAAGGACAAGTTTATCACCATAATGGAACTTTACATCCTTCAGATGGTGTTTCTCGGACGTTTGCTCAACTCTATATTTTGGATACAGCTGAAGCTACAAGTAAACGATTAGCAATGCCAGAAAACCAGGGCTGCTCAGAAAGACTAATGATCAACATCAACAACCTCATGCATGAAATAAATGAATTAACAAATCGTACAAGGTGCTACATGAGATAGAAAAGGAAGCCCAATCTGAAGTAGCAGCATAAGGTATTGCTTCCACAGAAGTGACAATGGCAATTAAATATGATCGTAACAGTGACCCAGGTAGATATAATTCTCCCCAAGTAACCGAGGTTGCTGTCATATTTAGAAATGAAGATGGAGAACCTCTTTTTGAAAGGGACTTGCTCATTCATTGTAAACCAGATCCCAATAACCCAAATGCCACTAAAATCAAACAAATCAATATCTCGTTTCCTACATTAGATGCAATGACATATCCTATTCTTTTCCCACATGGTGAAAAAGGCTGGGGAACAGATATTGCATTAAGACTCAGAGACAACAGTGTAATCGACAATAATACTAGACAAAATGTAAGGACACGAGTCACACAAATGCAGTATTATGGATTTAATCTCTCTGTGCGGCACACGTTCAATCCTATTTTAAATGCAGGAATCTTAACAGTTTATCATGGATTCATATTCTAAAATGGAGGCCAATCAGATAAATTTCATCAAAGCAAACCTATCTAAGTTGAGTTGAAAAATATAGTGGTTTGATGGATTATCTCAAATCTAGATCTGAAAATGACAATGTGCCAATTGGTAAAATGATAATACTTCCATCATCTTTTGAGGGTAGTCCCAGAAATATGCAGCAGCGATATCAGGATGCTATGGCAATTGTAACAAAGTATGGCAAGCCCGATTTATTCATAACCATGACATGCAACCCCAAATGGGCAGATATTGCAAAAAATTTCCAAACTGGCAAAAAGTTGAAAACAGACCTGACTTGGTAGCCAGAGTTTTTAATATTAAGCTGAATGCTCTTTTAAATGATATCTGTAAATTCCATTTATTTGGCAAAGTAATAGCTAAATTTCATGTCATTGAATTTCAGAAACATGGACTGCCTCATGCTCACATATTATTGATATTAGATAGTGAGTCCAAATTACGTTCCTCTAATTAATTCCCTTTCAATGTGCATGAATTTCATGCACCAGGCCACTAGTGTGTGTGTGTGTGTGTATACATATACATATATATAAATACTACAGGCCTGGTGCACGGATTCCTGCACCGTTGGGGGGTCCCTCGGCGTGGTTGCAGGGATCAGGCTGAAACCGGCAGTCCAACATCCCCCGAGGAATGCATTAGTGCGCAAAGCAGCAGGTGGCCGGGGAGGAGCCTGAGCTCGGGCCAAGCGCTGCTCCCGCTCATCCCAGCCTGCCACCTCTGCTGCTCGGTAGGCTTACTGCTGCTCTGCTGCTGTCTCCGCATGCCTGTCCTAGGTTGATACCAGCACACTCATGACCGAGAAACAGGTGTGGGCTCACGCCCAGTCAGTCCCGATGCCGGTGCCGGTCTGATCCCAGTCCTGGTCTGGATGAAGGTGGGGCACACAGGGGGAGTGTCCCTGGGAGAGGCTCGCACCGCAACAGCTGCACTCACCAGCCATGAGCCCGGCATCTTGCACCTGTTGGTCAGCTGGGCAGCACTCCTGCTGTGGGAGCTCACTGATCACCAGGGGGAAGCCCTTGCGTTGAGTGTCTGCCTCCTGGTGGTCAGTGTGCATCATAGTGACTGGTCAAATGGTCGCTTAGGCTTTTATATACAGAGATATGAGTGTATATATGTGTGTGCGTGTGTGTATAAATTTTAAATGCATATACCATATGACTTTGTAGTGCTACATCTAGAAATTTGTCTATTATCTCTACATATATTTGTGGGAAATGAAATATTTATAATCATTTCAACATTGTTTATAATAGGAACTTTCAAAATGTTCAAAAGAGTTTGCTCAAATAAATTAAGTACATATGCACAGTTTCTGACCGTTTTCAGAAAGAATGAAGCAAAGCTATACTTATTGTTGTAGAATGATCTCTATGGCATATATAGAGTAATGTGTATAGTATGCTGCCTTGTAGGGCAGTGGTGATGGGTGGTCAAGTTTACATGTACATGAGTATGTATGAGTGACTGAAGCACAGAGATGGGAGAGTCTTAGCTTCTAATTTATATATTATTACAACATTTTTACATTTCTAGTATTCAAAGTAATGAATACTGTTTTGAAACATAAAATGTTCTTTACTTCTTCCTAGCTTTGTTGTTGTTCATAGTAATAATTCATTTTTTAAATATATCATTATAGGTATCCATCATACTTGGCACCTGAGGTAATTGCACAAGGAATTTCCAAAACGACTGATCATATGCCAAGTGAAAAACCATTGCCTTCTGGCCCCAAATCAGATGTATGGTCTCTAGGAATCATTTTATTTGAGCTCTGTGTGGTAGGTATAAAAAAACATTAAAGTAATAAAATTGTGTGTTTCTTAGAATAATTTTTTTAATAGGGAAACTATTTGGTAATAATATCTTTTTGCTTTGCAAATTGACTAGATATGAGGAGAAATATCTTAATTCTCAATTTGACTTTTTTTTAAAAATATATTTTATTGATTTTTTACAGAGAGGAAGGGAGAGAGATAGAGAGTTAGAAACATCGATCAGCTGCCTCCTGCACATCTCCCACTGGGGATGTGCCTGCAACCCAGGTACATGCCCTTGATCGGAATCGAACCCGGGACCCTTGAGTCCGCAGGCTGACGCTCTATCCACTGAGCCAAACCGGTTTTGGCGACTCAATTTGACTTTTAACAAAATCCTGTTTGACAATTAATTTACCTATTATTTTGGTAGCTCTAGAAATGTTTACACTTTTACTAATTGTAAATTTTACTAAGTGTAAATATCATTTGGTATTTCTAGAAATTTTTACCCTTGTATTAAGTACAAAAAAATTTACACTGTACAAAGTTAAAAACTAAGCATTATATAAATGTTTAGACTAAAACTGCTTACATTCTTTGATACGTTCATGCTCTCTCCCTTCTGTGGTCTTTCTTTTTAGATACCTTCTCTTCTCCTGTTCTCTTATGTTTCCTATAAGACTCACTTTATATGTTGGCTTTTGATGAGGCCTTTCCCAGATATCCTCTATATCTATTAGTGTAAAGAATAAACTGCTATAAAAACAAAGGAGTTAAAAATGCAGTAGTTTAAAGAACATAGAATTCAGTGGTTCTCAACCTTCCTAATGCCGCGACCCTTTAATACAGTTCCTCATGTTGTGGTGACCCCTAACCATAAAATTATTTTCGTTGCTACTTCATAACTGTAATTTTGCTACTGTTATGAATCGTAATGTAAATATCTGATATGCAGGATGTATTTTCATTGTTTGCGACCCACAGGTTGAGAACCGCTGAAGATGTGTTTCTCCCTCATGTAACAGTCCACTGAGGGTAGAGTGGACTTTATTCTACAACTATAGACCCGATGCTAGAAAATTCATGCAAGAGTAGGCCTTCCTTCCCCTGGCTGCTGGCACCAGCTTCCCTCCAGCACCCAGGACCTGGGCTGCTTCCCTCCTCCAGCCACCAGCAGGCACCTGGGACCCAGGCTGGCTTCCCTCAGACCACCAGCAAGCATCGGACTCGGCTGGCTTCCCTGTGGCCCCAGCTTCATCAGGAAGGACATCCAAAAGACATCCAGTCTAATTAGCATATTAGGCTATCAGGAATGGCTCCAGCATCTAGTTTCCAAAGTTCTCTCACTATCACTTTTTTTTAGCCATGAGGAAAGGAGAAGCGTGATTCATGGTAACTATTTAAGGATGTGATCTAAAACTGATCAACACTACTTTTCACTAGTGATAATTTACACATGTTGCTACATATAGGTACAAGGGAGACTAGAACATGTTGTCTTCAGCTGGACACCTAAATATTGAGAAAGGAGTTGAAAATGGATTTGGAGGAGCAACTAACAATTGGTCAATTCTACCTTCAAATATCTGCCAGCCTTTGGTTACTACCTTCTTTGCTCTCCTCTTCTATTTTGGCATTTATCAAATTTGTCTACTTTACTTGGACTACGAGGTTATTTGATGCAGAAATTTTTATTATTTATCTATTATATCTGTCTTCCAAGGAACTTTCAAAATATTTTGAAAAATTAAGTCACTAATGTTTACCATATTTAAGAATTAGATTGACATTATTTTTCTCCTTTTATATATTTAAGAATTAATTCAAAGCAGAGGTAGTAAAGCATAATAGTTACAAGATAAGCTTCTGTAGTTAGAGAGAACTGGGTTTAAATTCTGATGCTGCAAAGAATAGCTGTGTGAGTTACCTTAGCTAACTAACTTCTCAAAGCCTTGGTTCCACTTCTATACATAACAATAGTGTCTATATTGCAAAATTGTTGAAAAAATAAAATGAAATAATGTATATAAAGTACTTAGTATAGTGTATTACAGAGTGAACAATCCATAAATGTTAGCTTTTATTATTATTAATTATGCATAATATCCTGGCTGGAGTGGCTTATTTGTTTGAGCATAGTCCTGTGCAATGAAAGATTGCTAGTTCAATTCCTGGTCAGGGCACATACCTGGGTTATAGGTTCGATGCCAGGTTGGGGCACGTATGGAAGGCAACTGATCGATGTCTCTCTTTCTCTCTCTCTCTCTCTCTCTCTCTCTCTCTCTCTCTTTCTCTTTCTCTGTCTCTCTCTTTCTCTCTCACTCTCTCTCTTTCTCCCCCTTCCTCTCTCTGAGCATGTCCTCAAGTAAGGATTAAATAATAATAGTAATAAAAATAATAAATATGCATAATAACATTTGTCATTTACATATTGGCAGTTCTTTCTCTAAGGGAAAATGTCAGATTTTCTGATTCTTTGCTATCCTTTGTTTAGACCATCTTACTTTTTTCATTGGTATAAAATAATAATAAATCTTATTGTTTAAAATCATAGACAAATTGAAAAATTATTTTTGGAATATGAAAGTAAAATATAATAAATGTAAAATATACATTTTTTTTCTTTTTATTACCATCAACTATATCTAAACTCTTTACTAATGATCTGGGTATGTCTTATATGAATATTTCAATTTTTAAAATGTTAAAGAGTATTTACTGTATGTATGTGTTGTATATATAGCATCATGACAAATGCAACAAGGAATAAACTGTGATTAAGACACATTGTGAAGAAGCTTATAAAGTAATTCAAATCCATAAATTTTGAAGATAAACTCAGAGAGCTGTGTGAATACCAAGAAGGAAATATTAATTTCATTATGTGGGCTTTATGACATTTTAAGTGGTACTCAAAGTTTAGACAGTTTAAGGATGGCAAACTGAACGTGAGCTTAAATCTTTCTCTGCCTCATCAAACAAATACTAAGATATAAATTAATAACATACCAACAGCTAACAAAGGCAACTTTGGTTATACTAGAAATTCAAAGAAAGTAGATGAGAAGCTATTCCAAGACCATTTTGCTAGGAATCTCTGGCCATATCACCAGGAAGTTACTATAGCCACTTTGCCACCCAGAAGGTTCCATAGTCTAAATCAGTGATGGCGAACCTTTTGAGTTCGGCGTGTCAGCATTTTGAAAAACCCTAACTTAACTCTGGTGCCGTGTCACATATAGAAATTTTTTGATATTTGCAACCATAGTAAAACAAAGACTTATAGTTTTGATATTTATTTTATATATTTAAATGCCACTTAACAAAGAAAAATCAACCAAAAAAATGAGTTCGCGTGTCAGAGGTTCACCATCACTGGCTAAATGATGTGTAGAATCCTATATTAAAACATGAGTACATATCTAAGAAATACCAAACATCTAAAGAAGACCTCTACCAACGAAAACACACACACACACACACACACACACACACACACACACACACACAAGAATTTACACTTGATTGCTAAAGGAAGTGGAAGGGAGAGGGAGAGACAGAAAGAGAGAGAGACATCAATTGTTTGCCTCCCGTATGCACCCAGACCCTGGTGGGATCGAGCCTGCATAAGTTTTGTGCCCTTGACTGTAATCGAACCTGGGATCCTTCAGTCTTAGGGCCAACATTCTATCCATTGAGCCAAACTATCCAGGTCTGCATTTCTAATTTTATAAGTCTTTGAGAAAGTTTTTTCCTTTTTTCTTTTTAAATCAGAATTTCATCTTCTCTATATAAAAACCATGCTATCTCTTCTTAAGCTTTCATATTCTAAGTCTATTTTAAGGGTCATATAAGTTTTAATTTGTTTATAATAAGAAAAACATAATACTAAACATTTATGAAGCATATCTATGTGCAGAAAATGCTATGTATTTTTATACATTATATAAATAACCCTTACTGTAAATATTCAATTTTAATAGATGAGAAAAGTGAGGCTTAGGTGGTTAAGTAATTTGTCCAAGTTGTGTAACTGGTAGTAGAATATCAAATTTGACACACAATAGTTGTTCAGCATATAGTCACTGAAGTTATAAGTGTTTGATTCCAGACTGCATTCCAAGGAGCCCCCTGAAGCCAATAAAGAAAACAATTAAAGCCTGACCAGTGTGCCTCAGTGGTTGAGTGTTGACCTATGAACCAGGAGGTCACAGTTCGATTCCCGGTCAGGGCACATGCATGGGTTGCAGGCTTTATCCCTAGTATGGGGCATGCAGAAGGCAGCTGATCAATGATTCTCTCTCATCATTGATGTTTCTGTCTCTCTCTCCCTCTCCCTTCTTCTATGAATTCAATAAAACTATATACATATTTTAAAAAGAAACAATTAAAATATAATGTATGTGTCTTAAAATAAATATACCAGTTGCTCTGTGAGCACAAAGGATGGCTAAGTTATTGTGGGAGAAGGGAGTGTCATGGAATGTGTCTTAATAGAGACAACAGATTGCCTGAATTATAATATGTAAGTAAGGATTAGTTGGGCAGATGAAAGGGTAATCTGAATCCTTCCCAGGAGGAATCTTGTACTCTTAATAACATTCCTGGTAGCCTGGACTCCATCTAGACATTCAAGTATGTATGGTCTCAAAAGTGAACAGTGCTTGAGATCAAACTAAAATGTTTAAATGTTAAATATTATGCAATATTTAAAAAATCATTACCTAACCAATAATTTTTCTTTAATGGAACTAACTTTAAAAATCTAATAAAACTTCTGAAGAGAAATAGAAGTACCTGATAAAATTATTTTCAGCTCTGAAAAAAAAGACCTCCTAAGAAAAAACATGCAAATGTTTACATGAATTCTTTTCCCTTTTATTTAGGGAAGAAAATTATTTCAGAGCTTGGATGTTTCTGAAAGACTAAAATTTTTGCTTACATTGGGTAAGTGTCTTGCAGTTATATTTCAAATATAAATATAATCTTTACTGAGTGTTAGTAATCAAATACACTGAAATATCCTAACTTTCTTTAATTTTCTAATGATCAGTGATAAGCATTAACAGGACAATTTAAGAAGTGCCGTAGATGAATTATAGTAGAGCTTTCCTTATTTACTAAGGAATTATGCTGTGGATGGATGTAAAATTAGCCTTATGATAGCCCAGTAAACTAACATGTGAAATCAAAGAGTGAAACTATAAAATTGTATTTTTCTCTAGCAGTTTGCCGTGAAATAATATATCAATTTTGGAGCTTCCTCTTTGATGATTCATATGTGAATGGGTCAAGAATAATGTTTATTTTTCCTTATAACAAGTTCATACGTTTTACATGTATGTTAGATGTAAATATTTGCAATTCAAATTTATAAAAATGTGTGTATCTACTTTAGGTTGGAATAAATTATAAGCATGTATGGTAAAAAAAAAAAAGAAGAGAAAAGGAGTGATAGAGCACTTTATGTAAAAGAGTGATAGATTGATCTACAGGTTAATAGAGTATACAAATAATGTGTACAGAATATTATTAATAAATATTAATACTAATGAATTATAAATAAAATGCCATAAAATTTGACCATATTTACCACATTTAATTTTAAAGTGATAATATAGCTGTTAAGGAGTCTTGGAGATTTCTAAATGTCATCTGCAGACCAAACTTATACTTTAAGTCCTCAGAGAAATGTATACATTCTCCAAATTGTATATAATAAAAATAAATTAGTTTTATAATCATGAAAAGATAATAAAACCTTTTAAAATACACACATATAGTGAAAAAGCACGGACAAGAATCTTTATCTCCTTTGATCACTGCTTTATTTCACTTACAATTAGGCGGCTTTATTTCAGTATCTATGATTCAATTAAAATTTACTGTTGGAAGTCTTTATTTTTACCACTAATCATAAGGAAAGTTTAAAAAATCACAAACTTTTTAATATTCCAGGTTCCAAAACAGAATTACATGATATTTTTTAAAAGTATCAGAGTTCAGTACCCAGTATGTCTGATAAATTAGAACAGCAGCATTCATTCTTATACTTTTTCTATTTTATAGACTGCGTGGATGACACTATAATAGTTCTGGCTGAAGAGCATGGTTGCCTGGACATGATAAAGGTTTGTGGTTAATCTGTTATTGAAAGTTTGTTTATTTTGCATATTTGGGATCCAATAGCAAGCTATTTTAAAGCTGTGTTTATTTGGGAAAAGTCCAAATAAAGACTTTGTAAAAAAATCAAAACACAATGCAATATGAAGATGATATATCATAGAGATGTACACTTGAAATCTATATTATCTTATTAACCAATGTCACCCCAATAAGTTTAATTAAAAAGAAAAAATAATAATAAAGATGAAAGAACAAAACATTTGAGTTTGTCAGGTAAACACAAATCTTTAGAACAAAAATAAATCAAAATATCCTAGGTTAGCAAACATTTGAGTAAAATTTACTTTTTTACTGTATTTTTTATTGTTGATAGTATTACAGGTATCTCATTTCCACCCTCTATTGCTCCTCTCCTAAAATTTATTTTTAAGATTGGTCATTGTAAATAGTTCTTTTTTCTCTTTATTTACCAGGAGCTTCCTGAAAATGTGATAGATCTTTTGAAGAAATGTCTGACCTTCCACCCTTCCAAGAGGTTGATATTAAGAGTTTGGGATTACACAGATCCTTAACATATAAGTAGTTAATTTTTTTTCTTGCTGGTTTTAATGCCAATGGATTTAATAAGCATATTTATATGTATATAGTAATAACTGTTAGTAATGGCTTTAATATATGTTAATAAAAGTAGAAAAAATAATTAAGCCATGCTCAGAAAACTAGAATATACCAAAAGAAGTTACTGGTTCATTTCCTAGTCTCCAATATAAAAAAAAAATCAGCTAAACTGTGAGGCATACGTATTCCTCGATTAAAATGATAGACGAGAAATGAGAACAAAAGTTTATTGGCAGTATATATTATAGCAAAAGACTTGGATAAATGGTGAGGTAAGCTAACAACTGTTGATTACATAAAAGGATTTCTTAGACGTTGTATTATTTCTTTTCATTTGATGATGTCATTGTTAGCCATATAGTTGTCCTTAAACTCCCTCAGGTATATAATATTTAAAAATAATAAAAATGTATTCTAATTTGTCTTTAGACAAACATTTTTGTCAAGGCATGTTAGGAAGAAAGTAATATTAAAAGCATAGTTTTGGGTAAATAGGCCACATTAAACTAAGTATAGGAAGAAACTAAGAGGTATTGTTAGTGTATAATTTTATTATTTAATATATTCAGTAAAGCAGATACATGGTAATCAAGCTAAAATTGAGACACTCATATATAATAGTTTTGGTAGATCACAGGGTGTAAAAAGCATAACAAAGGTAAAAAATTTAGCATTTACTACCTACAGTCACTTGATTGTTTTATAAACGTACTAGAGGCCCAGTGCACGAAATTCATGCACTCGGGGGAGTCCCTCAGCTCAGCCTGCACCCTCTCACATTCCGGGAACCCTCAGGGGATGTCTGACTGACAGCTTAGGCCCGCTCTACGCAGAGAGTGGGCCTAAGCCATCAGTCGGATATCCTTAGCACTGCCACGGAGGCGAGAGAGGCTCCTGCCACCGCTGCTGCACTTGCCAGCTGAGAGCCTGGCTTCTGGCTGAGCAGTGCTTCCCCTGTGGGAGCACACTGACCACCAGAGGAAGTTCCTGCATTGAGCGTCTGCCCCCTGGTGGTCAGTGCGTGTCATAGTGACCAATCGTTCAACCGTTCAATCTATTTGCATATTAGCCTTTTATTATATAGGATACTTTTAGACTCCATGAAGGAGGGCTTTATTATATTACTAGAGGCCGGTGCATGGATTCGTGCACTGGTGAGGTCCCTCGGCCTGGCCTGCAGACATCCCCTGAGAGGTCGGACCCCACCAGTGCACGATCGGGGCTGGGGAGGGACCGCAGGAGGACCCCAGGGCATGTCCAGCCCATCTCTCCCAGTCCCGATTGGCCGGACCCAGCAGCAAGCTAACCTACTGGTTGAAGTGTCTGCCCCCTTGTGGTCAGTGCTCATCATAGCGACTGGTCGAATGAATGGTCGGACACTTAGCATATTGGCTTTTATTATATAGGATGTGCTAATGAGGTATTTAAGACTTTTAACAATTCCTTTGAATTATTCTAGGAAAATTCTAATGACTTCCGTTCATGCTCTGTATTTTAAATGTTTCTCAAGGCCAACCCCAGATGAATTAATGCAGGACAAGGTGTTCAGTGAAGTGTCACCTTTATACACCCCATTTACAAAACCTGTCAGTTTGTTTTCATCTTCTCTGAGATGTGCTGACTTAACTCTGCCTGAGGATATCAGTCAGCTGTGTAAAGGTAATGATAAATAAGAATAAGCAATAATATAAGCCATGTTTTTAAAGGGAGTACTCTTACCCTATTTTTGAAAGTATCAACAATATATGTAATACATTAGTGAGACTTTATGGACACTTACCTTGGAATTAAGAGGTAACTCTGGGCATGTTTAACATAGCATTTTATATAACTAACCTAACTTTTAATCCTTTCAATTTAAATTACTTTTGAGCAGGAACTTCAAGAATCAAGGAGAGGATGTGGTACCACACAAAAATTTATTATGCAAAACAAAGTCCCATTTTCATCTCAAATCTTTATACTACAATCAGGTCTTCTAATTCCCAATGGAATTTTCATTACATCAACATTTATATATCATACTAGAGGCCCAGTGCACAGATTCGTGCACCGATGGGGTGCCTCAGCCTGGCCTGTGCCCTCGCAATCTGGGACCCCTCAGGGGATGTAGGATAGACGGTTTCGGCCCGATCCCCACAGGCCTGATCCAGACAGGAGGGAGCCCAATCCTGTGCATTGAACATCTGTCCCCTGGTGGTCAGTGTGCATCATAGTGACTGGTCGACTGGTCATTTGGTTATTTGGTCATTTAGGCTTATAGATGATAGATAGATAGATAGATAGATAGATAGATAGATAGATAGATAGATAGATAGATGATAGATAGATAGATAGATGATAGATAGATAATCTATTATAAATGATCTCTAAAAATTGTATTGTTGATAGAATATTCATACTATTATACTTCACATTTTAAGAGAATATCAGCTTTTGTCTTTTTATCTCTCTGTGATATTTACACCTCGCAGAATGTGTGCTTTAGTGACACCAGTAAGTTACTCTTATACTGAAAAGTTATGAAATAAGTCATAGCAAGAAATAGTTACTAACCATTCATTCAATTAAATATTTATTGAGTTTCTACTTTGCTTCACACACTGTACCTTCAAGTAACATTCATGCCAAATGGTGAGGCAGACAGACATTTAGTCACAGAATTATGATTACAAATGAAGGTCTGTATGAACATTGCAGAATGGAAGCATAGCCTGCGTGAGACATCAAGAAAGACTTCTCCAAAGAGGCAGCAATTGACTCAAGACATGAAAGATAGGGCAGTTCGTGTTGTTTGCCTACTCTATGTTTTTCTGCCCTTAATCCTTTTACATAGAACACGATATCTTAGATATACCTGATATATCTGTGACCCAGGTGGTAAAAATTCCACTTTTTCTCAAGAAACTGAATGTACATTTCATACTCTGTGCATTTTATAGTATGTATATCCTTAAGGATATCTTACTATGCTTTTAAGTTTTTACTGTTTTAGAATATTAGCTATTATTGTCTGTTGCCTTTTAATAAAAACAAAAAGTGAGATAACTGTGATTCTCTTTAATTTGCCATTAATAGATATAAACAGTGATTACCTGGCAGAAAGATCAATTGAGGAAGTATATTACCTTTGGTGTTTAGCTGGAGGTGACTTGGAGAAAGAGCTTGTCAACAAGGAAATCATTCGATCCAAACCACCTATCTGCACACTCCCCAAGTAAGAAAAGAAAAATGTTGGAAATTAAAAAAAATGTAGTAATAAATTTAAAAAAAAATTGGATAGCCATTCCAACTGTTTATCACAGCTATTGGACGTTATTAACTTATTTTTTTTAATGAAGTGTTTAATTATTAAATTCCCATCAATATTATTTTTATTAAATATTGTTTTTTAAGTAATATGCTTATCCTCCATATGAAGTTATTATTATGGAATACCTTGTAATAATTGATGTTCAATAAATGAAAAAGGTAGAAGTCAGAAAGAACAGTAATATTCAAGAGTTAATCAGCTAACTTGCCTATTATGAGAAACTATTTTCTATTTGCAATTATAAATCATAAATATGAGGTACTTGCTTGTCTTAAAGATCATTAAAGTGCTAAGTCAGTGTTGAGCAAAATCTGCACAACTGCACAAGATCCTGGACACTATTCTGTACGTTAGATTGGAATTTAAATAACAATACAACCTAAGGGACAAGGTTATTGCTGTTCCCTTGCTCTTAACATTTATTCATGTAGATGTGAATCTGAATCTCTTGAGTTTCCACCAATGCTCTAGCATTTTAATTTGAGATTTTCGGACTAGATTTTATCATTGTAGGTTATTGTAGAAATCACCTGCTGACCATTTCTTTCCCTCACATGTTAAATTTTAGGTTAATTATTTGAATAGACCATTGGCTCTCTACTTTTTTCTCTCTTTAAACTAATTTTTCAATATTAACTTCAGTTATACTGTGCACATTGAGTTATGTAGAAAATCAAGAAATAAGATGAGAGAAATTCTAAGAGTAAATACTTTAAAGGATATATAAATTCTCAAAAGTAATTTTCTGAAATTCTAAACAAATTGCATACATTTATTATTTGATATCCTTTCCCCTGTGAAATCACGGTCATTATGTAAGGTTTTTCTTTTTTCTCACTTTATCATTCTTCACTCATATGTACTTTCTCAGGGTCACATTAGTAGTATCAGCAAAGTAACTTTTGTGTTGAATCTGACTTAAGATACAGTGTAAATCACACTCTGATGTTGCTAAAATGCTTTATGCACTATATTCATACTTACTCAACATATATTTTAAAATTAGAATTGTTTAGAGAATTTTCAAACAGCAGTTATATTTTTATTAACCCATTAAATCTAAAATTTCTTTCTTTCATGAAAGAGTTCATGATTTAGAATAAAATTTCTTTTGTAGAAGAAACACTAAATTGGATTTTGTGTACCCATTAAAATAATAATTTTAAAAAATTTCTTCTAGTTTTCTCTTTGAAGATGGTGAAAGCTTTGGACAAGGTCGAGATAGAAGCTCGCTATTGGATGATACCACTGTGACATTGTCATTATGCCAGCTAAGAAATGTAAGATTGTTATTTTAGCAAACTTGCCTGAGAGCCTTTTTTTTTTTTAAAGAAACCTTACAGATACACATGAAGCCTTGAATTCCTCCCTAATTTCAAAATATAAGAGAGTTTCTTTAATGTATGAGCCCACGTACAGCATTATTGGAAATGCATCTGTACAACTTCAGCTTTAGTATATATATATTGTCTCATCGCTCAAAAGGTGGTTTTATTTGTTTACCTTTGTACCATCATAAGAGTTCTCATTTCTCCACATACTTGGTAATACATGGTATCATCAAATTTTTTAAAAATTATTGCTCCAAAAGGACCGGAATGGTATTTTGCTATAATACTAATGTTTAATTCCATGGTTATAGTGTAGATATGAGTTCTTTCATGTTTTTTGACTGTTTACTTACCTCTTCTGTGTGTGACTGATTCATCTTTTGCCAATTTTTTTGAGTCATTTCTTACTGAGTTGAGGGCTTTTAAAATGTATTCCAAATACAGGGTCTTTGTTGGCTATATGTGTTGCAAATTTCTTCTAATCTGTGGCTTCTTTAATTTTTTGAATAATATCTTTTAATTAATAGAATTCTTACTTTTATCAGTGTTTTTATAGTTCACTATGTTTTATTTGTTATATTTTACTTACTGTTACTTATTTAAAGTTATACCAAGGTTATAAATATATTTTGTATAATGTTCTATATTTTATTCTAAAAGATTTCAATAAAAATTTATTTGCAAAAACAAAAAATAAATAAAAATATTTTTTCTATAAATATTAGAAAAAATGTTAACATTGCTGATTTTTAAAGTAATATGGAAACCAAAGAATAACTTTTATCTTACACTTTCTGTACAAGTGTTTTTGCCTTTGATATGCTAAAATTTTAATTAATAAAAAATAGCAGAAGATATATCTAAAAGTAATATTTATGCTTTAAAGGATAGTAAAACTCAAACTTTAAAAATTACATATTAATAATGCAGTCAAACTTGGGAAATACTAGTTTTCTACTTAGAATTTTTATCCGTGAAAGAAATACCTAAAGATTTAAAGGCAAAATAGGATAAGTGCATACATGGCATGTCAAATTTTAGAAAGAAGCCATGCATAAAACCAGTGTTTGCCAGATTCTCATTGTTGGATGAAAGATTTTTTTTTTGGCTTTTAAAAATTCTGTGAATAATGCTAATGGAAGTGCGTAAGGACTCTAATCAATAGAAGGTCAGTGCCAGCTGCACATGGAGCTTGAACCTCTGTGTGAATCCCATAGGAGCAGACACTCTGTCTTCAAGTTGGGAGTTGCACTGAAGAGCAAAGCAGCTGGCAAGGTGGTGATAACTTTAATCACCCTGCTTAGGATGTGTCTAAGATTTTACTATACTATGGCCTGTCTTCTTACATTTTTGAAGAATACCTATAATCCTGCATGTTATGTTATTATCGGAGAAACATTTTATAATAACTTTTAAAAAAGATATTTAAGAGAATTGAACTCATCAATATTTGAATCATAAATATTCAAAATATGTTGTGAAAAATTCTTTTGAATTTTATTAGTACCCTTACTATTGTCTTAGTTTGTATTAATTACAAAGTAAAAATAAGTAAATTGAATTGAGTTTTAAATTAAGGGGTATATGTTTTTAAAGTACCTTTTAAAATAACCTTCATCTATAATAATAAAAGCATAATATGCTAATTAGACCGGACATCCTTCCAGACAACCTTCCAGACGAAGCCAGGGCTGCAAGGGAAGCCCGGGTCCGGGTTGCCTGCCGGCGGCTGGAGGGAAGCCTGAGTCCTGGGTGCCAGAGAGAAGCCAGTGCCGGCAGCCAGGGGAAGGGAGGCCTACTCTTGCACAAATTTCGTGCATCGGGCCTCTAGTATAATTTAAAAATGTATTATCCATGTATTAAATTTTATACTAATTTCAGTAATTCTGAATTGTGTTTGGAAAATATCATAGTAGATGTCTAACATTTACAAGAGACACCTATAGGTAAAAATAATCAATATATAAAAACTATTGTTCACAGCTAAACTTAATCACTAGAGGCATAATATATTTGTATATTTATGATTGGAATGGATTTTAAATTTTATACTTCTCAGTACCTCATATAAATTCATAAATTTTATATTATGTTGCTTTTTAAGTGCGGTTCAGCGTTTCTGCCTCAGAGTCTCACACATAATATTTTCTCTTTTAAATCACAGAGATTAAAAGATGTTGGTGGAGAAGCATTTTACCCACTACTTGAAGATGAGTGAGTATATAGAGTCTCCTTTTACACTTATTTTTCTTCACCGTTTATGTTAGATTGGTAAGAAACATATGTTCAATGAAGAGCATTTCCTAAATAAAACACTTAATATGGAGGTGTTTTTTTTTTAATTTTTTGCCTTTTGTTTCTCTTTTATAGCCAGTCTAATTTACCTCATTCAAACAGCAGTAATGAGTTGTCTGCTGCTGCCACGTTGCCTTTAATCATCCGAGAGAGGGACACAGAGTACCAGCTTAACAGAATCATTCTCTTTGACAGGCTGCTAAAGGTAGGGATGTAATGTGGAAAGTGTTCTAAGAGCCCATATACAATACTTATTTTTTATTTCATTTGTAATTATTAGAGAATCTTGATGTCATAAGAAAACTAATTTTTATAGCCTCTCTTTTCTGATAAACATTTAATTACAAAAATGATACATGTTCATAGTAAATAAAACTTAAAAGTAAAAACAAATGTAAAAAAGTAAAAATGATGTAGGATTATATGAAAAAGCCTATTAGATAATTTATTAATATCCATACTGTTTAAAGAACATTTAAAAATCTACAGGAAAAAACACTAATATTGAAAGAGAAATGGATAAAGAATATAATGGAAATATAACTAGTCAGGATAAATCTATTCAAAATACTTATCCTCACTAGGAATGAAAAAAATTTTAATAGGTTTTTTTAATAACCAAATTAGTAAAGTGAACAAAGGCATATTAAGATTGGAACTCTCATTCCTTTGTAATAAGTGTAAATTGAAACGGTGCATAAGGCAATTTAAAAGTATATATGAAGAGCCTGAATGATATCCATACCCTTTGTCCTAATAATTCTTTTCTAGAACTCTCTCTTAAAGTACAAATTTATAAAGGGACAAATTTATATGCAAGGATATAGAAGTAGCCATAATAATAACACATTTATTGAATATTTTCTATATGACTCGATATTTTACAAAGTGCTATGCATAAATTATTTAACCCATATGAAGCTGATAGTATTATTTACACGACTCCTTGATAATTCTTTCAGATCACAAAATAGAGAGAAATGATTAAAACCAGTAGAATCAGCTCACCTCTTGGTTATATTATACAAAATTTACAGAATAGAGGGAACCATTCCACTGCCAACTTAATATCCTATATAATAAAAGCCTAATATGCGCTAAGTGTCCAATTGTCCAGTCATCTATTCAACCAATCAAAGCGTGAAAATGCTAATGATATGCTAAGGCCGCTCATCTGCTTGCTATTTTAAAGATTTTAAAAATTAATGATTCTTTCAGGTACATTGTTAATATTTCACATGTCAGTCTTTACTTTCCAACTGATTTTTTAAAATATATTTTATTGATTTTTTTACAGAGAGGAAGGGAGAGGGATAGAGGGGAAGGGAGGGGCTGTGGGTGGAGGGCCACATATATATATGTTTCAATTGCCAAATTGTCAAAGATTAGAAAGACTGTCACTATCAAGTGTTAGAGAAGAAATAATGAACAGGAACTGTCATATACTGCTAGTGGGAATATAAATGGATACAAAGCCTTTCAAAAAACCTTTGTGATGATATAAAGTTAAAATTGCACGTGTTCTATGGCTTAGAAATTAAATCCGAGGTTTATACTCTTGGGAAAACTTTTGCAGATGTACACTGTACATAATATTCTGAGCAACACTTTATAATATTTTAAAAACATTAAACAATTTAAATAACAATTGATATTAGAATGCATCAATTATTATATTATTCATAAAATAGAAGTAAAAATTAATGACTTGCTGGTTTGGCTCGGTGGATAGAGCGTCGGCCTGCGGACTGAAGGGTCTCAGGTTCGATTCCAGTCAAGGGCATGTACCTTGGTTGCGGGCACATCCCCAATAGGGGGTGTGCCGGAGGCAGCTGATCAGTGTTTCTCTCTCATCGATGTTTCTAACTCTCTATCCCTCTCCCTTCCTCTCTGTAAAAAATCAATAAAGTATATTTTAAAAAAGTAATGACGTCATAGCTACATGCAACAATATTGATGACTTTCAAATAAATAATGTTGATTGAAAAAGCAAATCACAAATGAATACTGACCAGTAATATGAAGTTCAGAAATGTGTATGACTAAACAATGTACTTTTTAGGGATACAAATATATGGTAAGACTATAATTAGAAGAGAATTACAAACACGAAAATTTCAGTTATGTGTTTCTTTTGGGGGATACTAGGGAGACACAATTAGGGAGAAGCAGAGATGGACCTTTAGTGATAATAAGATGTTCTTTACTTAAATTGCTTGGCAAGTACACAGTTGTTCATTGGAACTTTATTTTTTTATACTTTGTTCATATTTAATAGCCTGTCTTTAGCAAATATTTATACATGCTTGGGTTGCAAGCTCGATCCACATTAGGCAGCGTGCAGGAGGCAGCCGATCAATGATTCTCTCTCATCATTGATGTTTCTATCTCTATCTCCCTCTCCTTTCCTCTCTGAAATAAATGGGAATATAGATTTTTTTAAATAATTAACATAATTTAGTGCTTTTTTGGCACATCTATCCCACAAGAACCATGCTGCCAAGACAAACTACTTTGTCTTGTACAACACCTAATCTGTTGGCAGTGAGGAAAGGAGAGGTCCCAAGATTATTACAGTGACTTGCAGTACTAACAGAGAACTCGGTAACAGCAGTCATGATAACGGGCCACATTCCTGCCCCGTTTTTTTGGTTTGTTTGTTTTTGTTTTGTTTTGTTTTCGTTTTTTTATTTCCAGGCAATTTCTTTGTCATCCTTCAGATATTCTCTTATCAATATCTTATGGATATCCAACATGCATTTTTTTCCTGAATTCCCTCAACTATTTTTAATTCTTTTCAACTCCCTGTTAAAAGAATTTTATTTATTTATTCCTGATTCCTTTGATGATATTCTACAAACATCTTTGAGTTTGGGTGGCTGCTTTACAAGAATGCCTATTGTTCCATATAATACATTAATAGTTAGAATTGTTGAACCACATAATGCTAAAGTTCAAGAGGACTTGTGAGGTCAGGTTGTCTAAATCTGTCATTAAATAGACGTACCATAGAAGTTGATGTACCAGCAAGGAATGTCATAATTTTGAACCCCAAATTAGTGGCTTGTTCTACATCATTATAGTAAACCTAAGTTATAAGAATTGTTCCATGCTTGGTCTTATTGAACACTAGAGGCCCGGTGCACAAAAATTTGTGCACTCGGGGGGGAGAGGGGGTCCCTCAGCCCGGCCTGTGTCCTCTCGCAGTTTGGGACCCCTCAGGAGATAATGACCTGCTGGCTTAGGCCTGCTCCCAGGTGGCAGAGATGCAGGTACAATCCTTAGGTGCAGCCCCTGGTCGGACTCAGAGCAGGGCCGATTGGGGAGTTGGGGCGCCGCCCCCTGTCATGCACAGAGCAGGGCGGATCGGGAGGTTGCGATGCCACCCCTAGTCACGCTCAGGGTAGAGC